GACGACATTCTGGTTTACAGCCGGAGTCTGGACGAGCATGTGGAACACCTGCGCACCGTTTTGGAGCGGCTACGACAGGCCAAGTACAAAGCAAACCGCGACAAGTGCGAGTTCGCACAGCAGGAGCTGGAGTACTTGGGACACTATGTGAAGCCGCAAGGCATCCGTCCGCTTGCGGACAAGATCGAGGCCCTACGAGTATGGCCCGAGCCCACCAACACCACGGACGTTTGTTCATTCATGGGTTTGGCAGGCTACTATTAGCAATTCATCACCGGATACTCTAGGATTGCTGCACCTATGACGAGGTTACAATCGCCAAAGGTGCCATTCGTATTCGATGACGACACACGCCGGTCATTCCAAGCACTTAAGACGGCTATGCTCATGGCACCCGTCCTTAGCATCTATGACCCCACCCTGCCGACGCGAGTGACTACGGACGCTTCCGGCTATGGCATTGGGGCAGTCTTGGAACAGCACAACGGTGACGACTGGCACCCTGTGGAGTATTTCAGCCACAAAGTGCCTCCCATCAACTCGCTGATGATGCAAGGAAGAAGGAGCTGCTCGCATTGGTGATGGCTCTCAAGCGATGGCGGCACTTCCTCCTTGGGCGTCGTAGGTTCACATGGATCACAGACAACAATCCATTGACCTACTACAAGACGCAGGACACGGTGAGCAGCACGATCGGACGATGGATGTACTTCATCGACCAATTTGACTTCACACCGAAGCATGTCCCCGGCCTCTCCAATCGCGCAGCAGATGCACTCTCACGAAGACCTGATCTTTGCGCTATGACACATCATGCCTTCGCATTCGATGAGGAGCTTCAGCGACACTTCATCCGGGCATATCAGTCTGATCCGGACTTCGGCACGCTCTATGCACAGCTATCTTCGGATCACCCGCCGGCCAGCCATTACCGCATTGTCGACGGGTACTTGCTCCTCCACTCGAGAGGCAAGGACTTACTATGTGTCCCAGGCGACCGTCGTCTTCGGACTCGCCTCCTCAGCGAGTACCATGACTCACGACTCGCCAGCCATTTCAAAGTCAACCGCACTATTGCACGACTTCGACAGCGATTCCGATGGCCCAACCTCATTACCGATGTCACTCGGTATTGCGACTCTTGCGAAGTTTGCCGACGAAGCAAGCCCCGCAACCGCAATCCCTACGGCGAGTTACACCCGATGCCTATCCCACGGGAACCCGGTCTCTCCATTGCCATGGACGTCACCGGTCCGTTTCCTCATGACCGGCTCGGGCACGACGGCATCCTCACGGTTGTGGACCGATTGAGTAAGTACGCGCGTTTTCTTCCTTGCAAGTACTACTCCACGGCTCCCGAGCTGGCATGCCTCCTGCACACTGGTTGGATTTGTGGCCACGGTGTACAAGAAGACATTGTCAGCGACCGCGACACTCGTTTCATGTCGGCGTTTTGGACTGCTCTCATGCAGGAGTCCGGCACAACAGTGAAACCAAGTTCGGCTCGACACCCTCAGACAGACGGGCAGACGGAGCGGGCACATCAGACCGCTCAAATGATGCTTCGTATGCTCATCCGTCCGGACCAGAAAGATTGGGTTGACCGCCTCCCCGACATCGAGTTCGCCTATGACACTTCGGTGCATCCGGCGATCGGCGTGACTCCATTCGAGTTGCACCACGGTGGACGGAAAGGCCGGATCTTCGCCGACCTTCTCCTCCCTCGA